TGTGGGTCTCTGTATTTGTTCCCATCTGCTGCAGGAGGAAGCTTCTCAGATGATGGCTGAGCAAGGCACTGACCCTGTGGGTCTAGTAGAATGTTGCCACGAGTCATTTTATTGCTGCATTCCTTTAGCACAGTGGTTCTTTACCTTCCCAGGCTGAGAGCTTTTCGATACAGTTCCTCTTGTTGTGGTGACCCCCAGCCATAAAGTTATTTTATTGCTACTTCATAATTGTAATTTTGTTACCATTACGAATTATAATATAAATACCTGTGTGCAGGATATCTGCTATCTCATAGGAGTCACAACCCACATGTTGAGGACTGCAGTTTGGCAAAACAGTAGTAGTTGGTTTTGCGCTGAGTCCCTGGCCTATCTGATCCCAGGTCCTGGGCTACCTAGGCAGTGTTGAAGATGGGCTTCGTCTCATAGAGTGTGCCTTAAATCCCATTGTATACTGGTTGGATACTCCTACAAGTTTTGTGCCACCACTGCACTACCACACCTTGCAGGCAGGTCGCTGCTGTAGATTAAAGGGTGTGTAGCTGGCTTGGGTTTACCTTTCTCCTTTGGTAGTGTGTAGAGTCCCTTCCAGTACCACGGACACTAGTCAGTACGGGTGAAGGCTCTGTGTAGGCACCAGCTCCAGTTCTCCATGTTTAATGAGCTATGTAAGTGTTGTCTTCAGCAACAGGGCCTTGTTCTCACTTTGTGGAGAACAACCAATAGCCCCAACAGTACCCTGAATTGTTTGGGAGTTCCCAATGGGACTCATGGCCAACGACTCAATTAAATATGACTCATTTCCTGTAGTAGAAAGTTCCTTTGGAGATCAGAGATATACAGTTGGGCCACATCTCCTCTGTTCTTAGGCCATCCCATTTAGGTAGCTTCATACATGTATATATTTTAGGAAGCTTCTAGTGCATGAGGTTCATTATGACTTTTCAAATGGCCTGGAGTTTTATCTGTTCTTTTTGTTTGTTTCTTTTGTCTGTTCTTTTCTGTGTCCTGTCTTTCAACCCCTCTTCCCTCACTCTTATTGTTTGATCCTCCTGTTCATTCCAGTTACCCTCACCCTCGTTCATCCATAACTGTCTAGTCTGTTTCCCCATCTCAGGGAGATCATTCTCTCCCCGTCAGGTCCCTTACTTTATACAGAACCTCTGAGGTTATATGGACTGCAGCTTGCCCATTAAAGACTTACCAACTAAAATCTACACATATGCTAATGCATACTGCAGACCGGGGCCTCTGACCAGATGTGGTCTGGGTTACCTCACTCTGGGTGATCTTTTCTAGTTCCATCTACTTACCTGAAAATTTCACGATGTCATTAAAAAAAAATAGTAAGAGTCTATGGTGTAAATGTACCATGTTTTCTTTATCTATCTATCCAATGATGGATGTCTAGGCTTTTATGAATAAACTAGTGACCAGGTCAGCCCAGTCAGTCAACAGGTTCTCCAGCGCAGGAGTGAGGATTAAAAAGAAAAAAGACAATTAGACAACATTGTACCATGACCTCAGCCAGTTCTGAGGCTGAGGCAGGTTTTTTTTTCCCCAATTTGCTTTTATTCCATTTTAATTTCATGCAAGTATTAAGGTCAGTTCTAGGTTGAGGAACTAGCAATACAATAGATGCAAATAGTCAAGGAACGAGCAAGGCAATAAACAAAGTCCGATGATCACTCTCGTGATCACTGTTTCTAAGGGCTTGTCAGGAGGACAAAAATATCTGAGCCTACTTCCCTGTCCTAGCCTAAAATTTAGATTCCAGACTGAAATTACTTCTCTGTTTAAGCCTAAAATTAGATTCCTGCCTGAATTTACTTCCTTGTCATGGCCCAATGTCAGATTCCTGCCTGAAGCCCATTTGCTTGTCCTTGGTCAATGTCAGATTCCTGCCAAGTGGTCCCAAAAGCTCTCCACAGAGTGGCAAAGAGCATGGTTGATCAGGTGGCTCTGTAGTGGGGTGAAGTGTCCTTTGTGTACATGTCTAAGAGGCACATTTATACCCAGCTAACTGAGGGGCTGTGACATTGATTTCTGTAGTGGATGTATACGTTTGCACTCCCACCAATGGATGAGTGTTCCCCTTACCACATGCCAGCACAAGCTGTCAGGTCTCTCACTTGTACTTTTGATCTTGGCCATTCTGACTGGTACAGGATGAAATCTCAAAGTAGTTTTGATTTGTATTTCACTGGTGACGTAAGGATGTTGAATATCTCTTTAAATGTTTCTTGGCCACCTGTGATTTCTCTTTTGAAAATTCTCTGTTTAGATATGTACCACATTTATAATTGGGTTGTTTCCTTATATTGAATTTTTTGAATTCTTTATATAATTCATATTGTCCCCCTATCAGGTGTATAGTTATTAAAAACATTTCCATTCTGTAGCCTGTGTGCTGCTTTGTCAGATGGCATCCATTACCACACAGCAACTTTTTAGTTTTATGAGGCCCCACTTGTTAAATTTCATTTTTAGTGCCTGTGCTATTGGTATTCTATTCAGAAAGCTGTGTGCTCGTGTTCCAGACTATTCTTCACTTCCTCTCCTACCAGATTCAGGGTATTTGGTTTTATGTTGAAGTCTTTGATCCATTTGGAGTTGAGTTTTGTGCAGGGTGATAACAATGGATCTATGTGCATTCTTCTCCATGCAACCAACCAACTTGACCACTACCGTTTGTTGAAGATGCTGTTTTTTTTTTTTCACTATGTATTTTTGGCTTCTTTATGAAAAAACCAGATGTCCATAGGTGTGAACTTATTTCTGGGTCTTAAATTGAATTCCATTGATCAAGATGTCTATTTCTATCCCAATATCACCATGTTTTTATTACTGTAGCTCTGTAGTACAACTTGAAATTGGGAGTAGCGATACCCCCAGCAGTTCTCAACTTGCTTGGGATTATTTTAGTATTTTGGGGGTTTTGTCTTTCCACATGAAGCTGAGAATTGTCTTTTCAAGTTCTGTAAAGAATTGTGTTGGGTTTTTGATGGGGGATTGCATTGAATCTGTAGGTTGCTTTTAGTACGATGGCCATTTTTAATATATTAATCTTACCAGCCCATGAAGATGTCTCCATCTATTGATACCTTCTTCGATTTCTTTCTTTACTGTCTTCAGTTATTTTAAATTATTATTTTATATTGTTATTAATCAAGTCTTTCACTTTCCTGGCTAGAGCTACCCAAAAAATACTTTTTTTTTTTTTTATTTTTGAGACAATTGTGAAAGTTGTTTCCCTGAACTCTTTCTCAATTCATTTGTCATTTGTATATAGGAAGGCTACTGATTTTTGTGTATTGATTTTGTATCCTGTGGTTTTGCTGAAAGTGTTTATCAGCTCTATGGATCTTTCTGATGGAATTTTTAGGGTCACTTATGTATACTGTCATATCATCTGCAAATAAAGATACCTTGACTTCTTTTCTTCCTATGTATACCCTCTTGATCTCCTTCAGTTGTCTTACTGCTCTAGCTAAGACTTGAAGTACTATATTGAACAGGTATATAGAGAGCAGGCAGCATCTTCAACAAATGGTAGTGGCCAAGTTGGTTGGTTGCATGGAGAAGAATGCACATAGATCCATTGTTATTGCCCTGTACAAAACTCAACTCCAAATGGGTCAAAGACCTCAACATTGTCTTATTCCTGATTTTAGTAGAAATGCTTTGAATTTCTTTTTATGTACATTGATATTGGCTGTGAGCTTGCTGTAAATCACCTCTATTATGCTGAGGTATATCCCTTGTATCCCAAATTTATCCAGGACTTTTATTATGAAGGGGTGTTGGATTTTTGTCAAGGATATCCCAAAGCTTTCAGCCTGTTCAGGTAGATAGAATAGAGTCTCCAAACTGAGTTGGGAAGGGCTGTAAGGAGGACGGGGAGCAGTTAAGAGCAGGAGACAGTTAAACATGCAACACAAGTGTGTCTTACTATACCATTAACTATTAAGAGCAACAGCCTATTAGATAATAACATGATATGTCAAACAGTGGAGCATGGAGAGACAAAAGCATTTTGCAATCTGTATATTAATATTGATGTGGCAAATTTTCTGAAATAATGGAACTGGTTTTTAAGCACTGAGGATAAAACTATATGCATGTGAAAAGTAAAAATTGATTTGTATAGGGAAGATGAAACAGATCAAGAGCACATGGTTTCCCATCCTCATAGAAATCTTCTATACATTTTTATTATTAATAAGGGAAAATTGTATTAGTAGAAAATAACATTAATAGAAAAAGTAAAACTCAGAGACTGTCTTAGGACTCTGTGGTTGAGGTGTCAGGACACTGTAGTGCTGAGGAGAGGGGATGGTATCTCCTACTGGGGGGCTGCAGTAGCACCAAGACCACCTCGCTCCAGGCTTCAGCATCCAGCTGCCCCTGCTGTACTGGAAACAAGGAGAGGCAGATGGAGAAAGATGCAGAAGAGCCACTGATCTCCCTGCCCTGGGTAAATCTGCTTTGTCCTCAGGTGGTTTTTATGTAAGGCTTAAATAATGTGAGTTAGTGTTTTCAGAAGGTTCCCCTCCCTATGAAATATCTGATCCGCAGCAGTTTAAACCAGCCACTCACCGTGCAAATGGTTACGCTGCCCTCCACACTGACGAGCATCCATTGTTGCAAATGGTTACTCTGCCCGTGATCTCCCTCATCTCATGGTTTCTCAGTCCTGCTTAAAGATGTACAAAGTTTCAAGTGCTACCACATCAGATTAGCACTCTTAATTGATGGCTTTAAATACAGCCCACCCCAGGCATGGAGACTTAAAACAAAAACAAAAAAAAACAAAAAAAAAACAAAACCAAAAAACAAACAAAAACCAAAACAGAACAATTTTGTGGCATCTATTTTCAAGTGTCGGGAGGCAGTTCTGAATCCAAAATGTAATATCAGGTTCTGGAAGATTGATAGAAATATGAATTGGCTGCCCAGTGAAATGATTGCCTGACATGGATTTGTTTTGTTATTTCAAGGGAGTGAGAAAGATAGAGCGTGGATTGTATGAACAATTTATCGACTACAGATTTGGAGAAGAAATACTGTACCAGATAGATCTCTGCTCCATGCTGAAGAAAAAACAGAGCACCGGTTATTACCACTGCGAGTCTTCGATCGTGATCGGTGAGTGCTGTTGAGAACGTCACTCAGTACATTTACTCTTGATTTCTTAACATCACTTCTAAGATAAATATTCCAGGCTAGTTGTTAATTCTTCAAAACACTGTGGGTTTTTGATTTGTTTTGTTGTTGCTGCTGGTTTGTTGCTGCGTTGGAAATGTGTAGAGAACGTTCCTCTCAGCTTCTTAGGTCTTGAAATATCCACAGAAATTTGTCTCTGTTTAATTTTATTTCATGAACGTAAACCACATGGCCACGCTGCTCCCCATCTGGCCTTATCATGGAAGCTGCTATTAATAGTGGGTAGTGACTGGAAGTTTCACTGCGGGAAGAGGAGGTGGAGGTGGCCTGTGACGGTCAAGGCTTTGTACCTTCTATAAAGAAAACATGCTTGGAGCAGAAGTTAAGATCTACACACAGATGGCTCAGTGCCCATTCATGAAGGCCGCCTGTGGGGTTCCGTGGGACCAACCCCACTTAGTTTCCAGGAGGAAAGTGTGCATAGGAAGGAACATTCGTTCCTTAACCAGACAGCTGCCATCACCCACCTTCTGGAAGGTGGGTACGTTTCACAGGAGCCTGCTCTGTTGGACTCAACTATACTATTTCCAGTGAGACACCATGGCCAAGAACTGAACTTAAAGACAACCTGATGGATATGTTTTTAAAGTAGCATGAAGATATATAGACATTTGTAAATATTTCAAGTTCTTCAGCCAAAGTACTTTCTCTTCACATCAATTAAAAAAAAATCCTGTATTGGATCTACTTATATCCTAAAAGAACCATCTAATAACTGAAGTTTACTGAAGATTTTAAAAAATGTTCAAGAGGCAATTTTATTTTCGAATCCTCATTACAGAGAGCCACAGCCATCATCATCCCGACATTACTATCCCAAAGGTCTGTCTTAAGCAGAAGATTTACAGTGGAGTTTGAGTTTCACATCTGCAACCCCCCAGTCCTGTCTCCAGGAGGATGCTCACGCTTTCAGACCTGCACAGGGCTCCTCTTCTGTCAGGTTCTGCTGACGTTCACACAGGGGACATACAGATCCTCTGCCGAGTGTGGATTTTGGCAGCTTTTCCAGGTTTCCACTGTAACTAGGTTACAGCAACCTTGAAAAGGGGTGCGGTGCTTCATTGGCTTCCCAGCTGATTAAGACAAAGGAAGAAAAGATAGATTTTACCAAAGATCCTGAGATTTGCATTATAAAACCTATTGTGTAATCTGCTCAGTGGCCAGCAGAGGGCTCTGTTCCACCAGCCCCACTTCAACCTGCTTCAACAGGCTTCTGCTTTCCTGTTCTTTTGCAGGCTTTTCCCCCAGTCAGGAATATTCATCCATCCACCCTCTTCCACTGCAGAGTGACCGTTTCATTCTGCCACAACCAATTCTGAATTTTTCTACCATTTAACTTTTTAAACTGTATTTTGCTTATTACGAATACTTTTTTTCTATACATCTTGTTTAATGATGACAATATAAATTTTAAAATGCTTCCTTATAACATGATTTATTATAATTAAGTTTTATATAAACTGGAGTTTCCCCTTTTCTTTGCATATGTGCCTGCATAGAGGCCTGGGTCTCATTTGTTACTCTCCACCCTGTTTCTGAGGCAGGGCGTTCACTGAGGCTGGAGCTCACTGGTTGGTTAGAGTAGCTGATCAGGGATCCACCAGGATCCTCCTGTGTTTGCTTCCCCAACTGGGTTTGCAGCCTCTCTTCACCATGCCTGTGGTAGGTGTTGGGAGTTGAACTCAGGTCTTTATACTCAGTGCACTGAGCCACTGTCCCAGCCTGCATCTGTGCCATGCGTCTCGTAGCATTACTGCTATTCAGATAAAGATTGGCATGGACATCTGATTATTAAACCCATGAAGCAGGGGGTTGATTTTACGAATATATGATTGCATTAAAGGTCTTTGGATATCCCTCCAGCTTGTACAGTGTGTACTAACGATCACACACTGGTAGCCCTAAGTGCTGTATTTGATTGGCAAATAGTTTTGACTCTTTCATCGTTTGAGCACTTGTTATGGTTTGAAGATCAAATGTCTCTTATTGGTGTGTGTAGTGGCACCGTCTGGGGACACTATGTGACCTTTAGGACAGTGGCTCTCATCCTTCCTATTGTTGTGACCCTTAAGTCAGTTCCTTATGTTGTTGTGGTGAGACCCCACTCCCATGAGATTATTTATAACTGCGAATTTTCTACTATTATGAATCATAATGTAAACGCCTGTGTTTTCTGATGGTCTTGAGAGCCCCCCTATGAAAGGGTCGTTGGACCTCTAAGGAGTCACGGCCAGCAGTTGAGAACCACTGCTTTAGGAGGTAGTAGAGCCTGGCTGGAGAAGGTGAGTTGCTAGGGATGGAATTTGAGGATCTCAGTTTCCTGATGTGCAGGAGTATGAGCAAGCTCCCATAGCCATGAGCTGCTCCTGCTGCCAGCTCTCCTGTGTACAGAGGATAGCCCCAGCTGTGAGCTGTGAGCTTTCCTCGCCCTTACTGCCAGGGGAACAGATATGCTCACCAATGATTTTGTACTACAAACTTCCGATTTCTGCCTTCTTGTGAACACCCCACCATGTGCCTCCACTTCCTGCATAGAGTAGCAGGCTCACTTGAGTGTATCTGAGTATTCACCCTGCCGACTGTACATTCCCACTGTGACCATTTCTTCTCTGTGCCTTCCCATGGAGTAAGTGTTAGAGGAATTTGAGAAGATGTGCTGTGGTACTGCCCAGGCCAGTGAGGCTCTGTCTCTAAGGATGAAAGGAAACACCAACGATCTATGTAGAGTACCAGGGACTCAAAGCATTGAGCTCGAGTAGTGCAAACAAAGCACTTTTTATTATTATTATTAAAGCAGCAAAACATGGACAGATGTTTATAGTTCACTTAAATGAATACAAGCACAGTGAGTGAATATACCTGGCATTATGTCTTATCATCTTTGGTCTTGTGTATTCATTTTTCATAGTTTATGCAGTTCTTTCTAGAAGGCCACCTTGTGAGAAGAACATTCTGCACTCAGCCCCATTCATAGTTCTCAGTAGGTTTACAGCTTTCCTACATGTGCTCTCACAAAGTACAGGGGATGTCTTCAAATGTTAGGAAAGACACATTTGAGTTGTCTCATAAATAAAACTTGGGATGATAATATGCCTACCTATCATTGAGCTCCTTGGAAACCTAACATCACTTATCAGCTAAAATTTTAATCTAGAAAAGGAACCCAGTTTTTCTGATGTAGCCAGGAATGAGAATGTAGCTCAGAAACCCTAGGGCTGTGTGGGTACTTGACTTGAGTGGGGTATTTTAATAGTGCTTAGGCATCTGTGTTTCACTTACATTTCCTTAGGAAAGGCAACTGACCCCTTTGTACAGTTGATGAGCAATTTAGAGTTTTCAAATACTGGTTTACTTTCAAGTGAGACATACTTTATAGGAAGCAGTGGCATATTTACTTATGACTTCTCAAAGTAGAGGTAGAAACAATTTTGGAGTGTGTGTGGTGGTTTTAATATGCTTGGTCCACAGGGAGCAGTGGTACTGTTTGGAGGTGTGGCCTTGTTGGAGGAGGTGTGTCACTGTGGGGGTGGGCATTGAAGCTGTGCCCAGTGCAGAAGAGGCAATCTGCTCCTGTTTGCCTTTGGAACAAGATGTAGAACCCTTAGCTCCTCCAGCACCGTGCCTACTTTCATGCTGCCAAGCTTCCTGCCTTGATGATAATGGACTGAAGCTCTGAACCTGTAAGCTAGCCCCAGTTAAATGCCCTTTATAACAGTTGTCTTGGTCATGGTGTCTGTTCTCAGCAATGGAAACCCTAACTAAGAGAGGGGGACTCCACTTTTTTTTTTTTTTTTACTTAATTATAATTATTTAACCTGGGATATCATGAAATAGAATAAGACACAGCCCTGGAGAATGATGCAGTATCAATGGCAGCTAAGATGGCTTCTGAGAAGCAGAGAGGAAAGAAGAGGGCTTGTTCCTTGCAGTAGGGGCTTTGGTATTGCACCATAGAAGAAGTTTGTAATTTTGTCTTTTGGGAGAGGCGAGGGGGAGGAGAATTTAACTGAGGAGCATGAAGGAGATGAGGGTAGAGTAAGAGGCATTTAGAGCAGCGGGAGGGAAGCTTTGGGCAGAGGCAGTGAGAACCAGCAGTGTGCGTGGGTGAGGAGCTGCAGACTGAGGCTTCCTAGGCTTCATGTATGTGTTAGCTGGTGAGCGTCTGGGTAGGACTGTCCATGCTGAGGTGGTGAACACATACCAAAGAGAACTGAGAGAATAGTTGAGGGATAAGTGGAGCTTAATACTCAGATGCTTACAGAAGCTTCTCATTTGTGATGGGCTGTATTCAACCCAATAAACTCACGGCAACTTGAAAATACTGTAAGTAGAAAGTGCATTGATACACACAACCTAATGGCCATCCTAGCTTAGGTTAACTGTGGCATGCAGGTTAACCTATAGCTATGTAAATTATTTGACACAGAGCCACACACGCATGCATGTGTGTGTGTTAAGGTCAGAGGGCAAACTTGTGTATTATTTTTCAGGAGCTGTCCACTTTTCTTTTTAAGACAGGATTTTTCATTGGTCTTGAACTCACTGAGGAGGCTTAGCTGCCTGGCCTGCAAACCTCGGTGGATCGCCTGACTCTGTTTCCCAGAGCTGCAATTACAAAGAAGCCAATTCACCCTTCCTCTATTTTGTTTTATTTTAATATTTAATATTTAATTTAGTATTTTAATATTTTTATCTTCAAACTTTATTTTATTTTTTATTTTAAAAAGTTGTTTCATATAATACATTCTGATCACTCTTTTTCCTGTCCCTAACAACTCCCAGAGTCTCTCCACCTTCCTACCTACCCATGCCTTTATCCCTTTCTTTAAAAACAAGCAAATAAAAAACCCCAGAAACTAACTATCCCTCTCTCTCTCTCTCTTTCTCTCTCTCTCTCTCTCTCTCTCTCTCTCTCTCTCTCT